CTTCTAAATCTGGTTTCTGATAAAAGAAAGCACCAACTATGGGAAGCTCTAAGAGATGAAAGATCACTGCTGTTCTCTATATTAATCCCACATCTCCTCAGCTGACAGTTTTGGCACGATTGTGTACTGCCGATGAGAAAATATCCATCTCAACAAAGGACCATCTGCTGCTTCAAAGCAGAGCTGTAATAGGTCATGGGGGTGCATGATGACAGCAGCAACAAGACAATAATATCTGGACTCACCACGCCAGCCTCTGGATTTCTCTTCCTCCCATTACTAAAGGTGGAGGCTAAGGTTGAAGAGCAGCTTTCATCATACAGAGCTGTCCGTCCATCGTTTATGGCAGAATTGATAGAGATTGTCCACATGCTCGAGGCATAACCATCACAGTTACAGTCATCATAGCTGCCTCCATCTCCAGAGGCCCAGACATAGATGCTTCCTTTGCCACCTCGGCCCTGTAAAAGGGAAAAATCGACCCTCCTGCGTTAAACTGCCAACAGGTCATAGCAGCTACTTTAAATTGCACATGTAATTGTAAAGCTAAGCATCTATAAAAGAGAAAACTGGTCCAAAGAAAATATACATCAAAATTAAACTGAAATAACATGGACTTCTGCAGGCTATTAAATCCAGTTACCTGGCAGCCACAGCCAGTTCTGCAACCCTGTGTACACAGAGTACTTCCATTTATCTTCTGCTTTGCTTGACACCTTGAAGGCTCCTGTGCCAGATGCTACAACATTTTATGGATTCATTAGCATTTATATCAAGGTCTAAGTGGTACGAGGAAAGCATTCTTTTAAAAGGGACATAGGCCATCTCACACACTGAGTTTGTAAGATCCAATTAGGTTCAGGCAATGGCTAAAAAACCCTGTAAAACTGGCACCTTTTTCTCTCAATAGACTTTTCTCCAAAGGTATCGCTGACTCAGAGCTGTTTTTCTGACAAAATAGCTTCTACCAGCAGAACAATGAAGTTATGTGACCATATGAATCATCTACAGAAAGATGGTCTACCAATTACACTGAAAAGGCGAGAGATTGAGGGGAGAGATTGAAGCTGAAGGGCAGCTGTAAAGGCTTCTCATTAGTCAAAGGAAAGAAATCTGTACCCTCTCCTCATCTTGCAGACAGGCAAGGAGCTGGAAGGCATCAACTCAGCTCCTTCTTCTCAGCCCTCTAAGAAAGAGGTACGGGCTGCCTGGAAGAGGGTTTGACCAGAGAACCCTGACACTGAGGGAAAGATCAGTGCTGCTGA